AGTGGGGTCACCCGTATGCCTGCTCAGCTCCCACTGAAGGGTCAACCATAGTCACATCCAGTGCTCTTTTGTAGCAGGGCCTGGGGATCAGCCGTGAAGACGACAGTCCGGGGTAGGCCCGCACTATGCTCAGGGCCCTGGTGTGGGACAACAGCCCGGTCCCTCTCTCTTCCGTGGTGCTGGGTGGACTTGAAGCCCCAACCCGCCCGGCAGCAGCTGTCCTGGTGTTGCTCCTGCCCCTTTCTCTGACTGCAGTGGGTGGGCAGGCGATGTGGTGTGTGGCCAGCCAGGCTGGGCCCTCTGTGAGCCACCCTCCCTGATGCCAAGGATTGGGGTGTGCTGCCCAGCCCCCTCCCCCACTGGCTCTGCCTCCCCACCCCACCCTCCCTTTAGATCCAGCTTCCTCCATCTCTGCCAGCCGGGGGCAGTGGGTAATGATCCTGTCTGAGGCTCTCTGCTTTCTCAGGCCACCCACCCCACCCCCAGGTCTATTACCTGCCACTTTGTGTGTTTCAATGAAAATTTCATGATTTGGGGTCATTGACAACCCAGTGGAAGATACCAGGTGTCAGGACCTGTTGTGCTCAAACCGATCCATGAAAGATAAAATTCCCACGCTTCCTTAGGCACGGATGCTGCGAGTGTGGGTGAGGGTGTCGATGCTCAGTGCTTCGTGTTGATGCACACCATGTCGCCCTGTGTCGGAGTTGACTCCACGGCACCCGGCAGTGTGCCTTTCACACCAGGTCTGGGAGAGCGCAGGGGGGCCACTGGGGCCGGGGCCCTTCCCAGAGGGGGATTCAGGGACTCGGGTGACCAGGTCTCTGGAGCTGAGAGCTTTGCACCTCAGGGAGCGCCGCCCCCCCCGGGGTGGGGCACATCTGGGTCAGTCCTTCAGTCCCCTTGCCTGGACTCCACGAAGTTTCAGGGGAGCCCCAGTTTGTTGAGGTGCAGTCTACAGGCCACAAGAGTCATGCAGGCCCTTGTTGCTGCTGCTGGTATCAGGTCTGCCCATCAGGCGGTGGCTGCCCTGTTCCCATGGTCCCTCTGTCCTGAGGGTGGAGGACAAAGCTGTCCAGCCCTCCCACTCCATACACGGGGCCCCTGGGTAGTTGAATGACTCAGATGGGTGGGAGCCATGGCCTTGGGGTGGCGCTGGGAATAAACTTCCCCGTCCTTTCTTGGCCATTGAGCTCAGGCTGGAACAGTGGGTGAGGTGAGGGCAGATCCCCACAGCCGTTTGGGGATCACTGCTGCAGTGTTTCCATCCTTCCCATCCTGGGGGGGTGCGGGTGGCTCACCATGGCTCCATCGTAGGCTCGGGGCCTGGGGGGGGGGCATCTGCAGCCCCTGCCTGCTGCTCTCGTTCCGTGATTACAGCACGTTAAATGGCGAGGCCTCCCGCCTGCCCGACCTTGTGCAGACACTGTGAAATTAACTTGCTCACCTCCCTGCAGCCTGGCCGTGCCGACATTTGCACAGGGCTCCGCAGAGCCCGGCTGGCACTCGGCCCAGCAGAGGGGGCGCTCACCAGTGCTGCACTGCTGAACAGGGGCCTTCTGCCCTTCCCTGGGGTTTGCAGTTCACCCGGGGTCCCTGGTTCCCGGATGCTGGCCTCACCGCAGTCTCTCCCCTGTACTGTGGTCAGAGGGTTGGCCAGCAGTGGCCTCACTTGGACTCAAACCTTGGCCCCCTCTGAAAACTGACCTGTCTTGCACCCTGGCAGCTGGGAGAAGGTGGGAGGGACCCTGGGCCTGCTGGAGGGAAGGCAGTGTGACCTCAACTGGGGGTACCTAGGGCTGGCTTCTCACTGTGGTGTGACTCCCTCTGACCCAGCCATGGGTTCCAGCCAGTGCCCCCTCAATGTTGCCTGGAGGACCCCAGGACCCTCCTGACCTGCCTGCTGCAGAGCTGAGCGGAGGGCAGCCTCCACAGGGCCCGGGCCAGGGGCCAGTGCCGTAGCCCCATCCCTTGTTGCAGCCGCCGTGATGTGCGCGTTCCCCTTCCTGACACACGCATTTAATTTTTAACTCACAAGGCATTTGCTTATTTATTTTCATTGTTGTTGATAATAATTCTAAGCCATTAGAGGGGAAAATTATATTCAAAAATGCTGTTTCACACTTTATTTGTTTGATGATTTAGAGCGATAGAAAATAGCACATTTGCTGGCTTTTATAGTCTGATAATTATTCACATCCATCAAGCCATTCCGGGGGAATAAACAAAACACCAAGAAAATTACACTATTAATAGCATCTTCCGAGGCCCTCTGGGACACCCTTTCCGGCCCGGTGGTGGCGAAATGGCAGTGGCCGCTGCTGGCCAAGGCTCGCTGCCTCACCTGCCCAAAGTGCGTCTCCCTCTGCTTGCTCGCTCCGGCTGCTTGGCTGCAAACTGGACCCTCCCTTCACCGCTGGGCCCTGCCACACAGCCCCTGCCAGCCGGCGCCTGAGCCCTGCGCCCTGCCCACCTCCTCTGAGCTCCAGGAGCTGGGCCCTGAGCCCTTCAGATGACTGTGGCGATATCCAAACTGTGTGTATGGTGGTTCTGGCCCTCCTGGCGGCCACTGTCCACACCTCCCAACCCCTAATTCCCAGGCTGGCCGCTTCTCGCTGGAGGCAGGCCCCAGTCTCTGAGGCTCTGTTCCTGCTGCAGGCCGGTTTGCCTGTGTGCCTGGGGCGGGGTGCAGCTGGGTGGGGGTGTTGCCCCTGAGGCGGGGTGTACCTGGGTGGGTGTGCTTCCTGGGGCAGGATGTAACTGGGTGGGTGTTTCCTGGGAAGGGGTGTTCCTGGGGCGGGGTGTAGCTGGGTAGGTGTATTGCCCCTGGGGCGGGGTGTAGTTGGGTGGGTGTGTTTCCTGGGGCGTGGTATAGCTGGGTGGGGGTGTTACCTGTGGCATGGTATAGCTGGGTGGGGGTGTTGCCCCTGGGGTGGCGTGTAGCTGGTCAGGGCAGGAGTCCCAGGTGGTACAAATGGCCAACACAACAGGCTGGCCGCTGACCACAAAGGTGGCATGGCTCCAGCTGCCCTGGAAGCCTTTGGCTGGCATCGGGGCTCTTCCCCTGACTGCCCTCTCCCAGACCGGTGTCTTCCAGTGGCCATACCGGCCACTAGGAAATGGCCAGAGTGTGTCCCTCGGACCCTGCGCTGGCAGGCAGGCCCCCTCGCAGAGGGCCACCTCAGTGGTTGCTGGGAGAGCAGCCCGTGGTGTCCCTGTCCCCCGAGGGCTGTGTGGGACATTGGGGAACAGGTCCAAGGTGGCTGTGAGAAAAAGCAGAGGCTGACATGAGGGTCTTCCTGTGTCCTGTGAGCCGGAGAGGCCTTGACACCCTGCCCCTGGAGGCCCACACTGTCGTGGGCGGGCTTGGTTCTGGAAGGGTCCGTATCTCTCGCCCAGCTGAGCCTCTCCTGGCCCCCTTGACGGCGCTGACTGCCGGGGAAGTCCAGGTGCCCAGTGTAGCTCTCAGCAACTCCCACCTGATAGCCACCTTCTCTAGATTTCTCCATTGTTGCCAGCTAGGGGTGGGAGTGTGGGTGGGGGCAGGGCAGCGGGCAGTCTGCTGTCTGAGCATCAGGTGAGGTGGAGGGGATGTGTGTGCCTGCGTATGTGTGTGTGTGTGAGGAGGGCTGGCGGGACAGTGGCAGAGATGGCCTGTGCCAGCCAGGCTGGGCAAGCATTCTGGGGAGGACCATAGAGGCTCTGGACCCGGGGGCTGGGACCTGGAGACTTCCTTCCTGGGCAGTGCTAGTTTTGCCAGGCCTGCACCAGGACCCCCTCACCTACTGGGCCCATCCTGTGGTGCTATTTGCCCTGCTCACCTGGGCTCCCATTGCCCCACCTCCCCTGGAGCGGATCCCCTTGTAGGGAAGGGTCTGAGTGGCAGGAAGAGCTGCTCACCGCTGTGCTCGCCTTCCTTCCAGTTCTCTGCTCTCCCAGGGCCTCTGGTGTGAGCACTGGGCCTGTGCCCCACAGCCTGCCACCGCCGATAGCGGAGGAACTGGCTCCAACGTATTAAACTTTTAACATCCACCGGATTCAATTAATCTTATCTTTACAACTCCCAATTACAGGCGGTAATTAAGTGAGCACCGCATTGTGGGCCCGGGATATTGCATTAATCATCACTGCCTGGCAGCCAGAGCCCAGGCCCCCGGCCCTGCAGGACTGGAATGTTCTGCGGCCCTGTTTGTGGCTCCTCCGGCCACAGAGGGCTTGGGCTGGGCGTCTTCAGCACTGCTGCCCTGGGCTGCTGTTTCTCTAGGTTGGGCGTCCTGGGCACTCTGGGTGTAACACAGTGCCCCACTCCCCCGGCCCCACCAACTTCAGGCCTGCATGCCTGCACCCCTCTCGCTCACTCCCACACAGATTCTGCTCTCGGTGGCGGGTGGGGGCCCATGGTACCCAGCTCTGCTGGCCTTCAACACAGCTGTCCATCTGCGGGGGTGGGGGAGGGGGCTAGAGGGCGGGCCTGGAGCCATCAGGCAACTGGGTTGGGGGTCAGGCTGGTGCTCATGCTGTGAGCACAGTCATTGCAGTGCCTGTGTGCAGAGTCCCACCTGGGTCATCTTTCAAATGCATAACGTGTAGCAAAACCCAGCTGAGGCAGCCATGAGACATGCAAGTGCTGCTCCTGCTGGCTGCCGGCTGGCCTGGGGGTGCACAGAGCAGGCGCTGAGGGGCCACTGTGGGGCTGCCCTGTACCAGACATGCCCCTGTGCGCTGGCCCACACACAGGGCGGAGCCTCAAATCCTGTGTGTGTGTGTGTGTGTGTGTGTGTGTGTGTGTTTTGTGTGTGCCTTGCCATGGCTCATGGAGGTGTGGTGTCCTGTAGGGACTTCTCCATTGGTGGCCCGGATGCTGGCAGCTGCCTCTCTCCTGGTCCTTTACCCCAACAACGCCCTCGCCTCCTGTGGAATCTCTCCTGGGCAGCCCCCCACCCCCACCCTGCAGTGCCCCTCTCTCCTGGCTGGCACTGATCGCTTCTGTCTCTCCGCAGGTATGCCATTCCGCCCGAGCACGGCAAGCGGCTGGAGCGCCTGGCCATTGGTAGGTGCCCCCTGCATCATGCCCCGGGGGGTGGGGGGTGGGGGCCTTGTCTTTGGGACCTTGGGTTTCAGGGTTTGGGCGGCGTCCTCCCGTTGTGTTTCCCGTGTGGCCTGGCTCTGTCTGGTCCCCGCCGGTTCCCATAGGAACCTCACTTGCCTCTGAGTCTCTGTCCCACTGACCCGGTTTCTGGGGAGGGGGGTGGGTACGCAGATGCTGCCTTCTCTGCCCCTCTTTTCCCAGTAGGTTCTGTGCCCTGCCTGGGAGGGGACCTGGAGGAGGCCCCAGGGGCCAAGCTGGCTTTCCTAGGAAGTAGCTCCCTCAGGCTCGTAGCGCACAGCTGCCTTCCAGGGCTCCCCCAGGGAAAGACTTGGAGATGCAGGGCAAGCCAGAAGTGGGGTGGGCCCCGAGCTTTAGGGGAGCAAGTGGTGACAGGGATCAAACGCTGAAATGCTGCCAGCCAGTCAAACGGCGCCGAGGGGTTGAGGTGCCATAGCAGATCCCCTGGCTGGAGAGGGCTGGCAGTTCCCCAGAGCCAGCAGTGGTAGCCGGCCCCCTCCTCTCCCCTGCGCTTCTGAAGCAGCTATGAGCTTGTGCAGGGCCCTGCTGGTGGCCGTGGCCACAGCAAGCAACCAGTCTGAGGATGCAGACTGACTGCTCTGGGCCCAGGCTTCTGCTCTTTGTTCTCCCGCTGCCCCTGCCAGTAGTAGCAGCAGTTCAAACCCACCAGCCGTCCCGAGGCCCAGAGACGAGGCTGTGTGCTCCCTTCTACCTCTCCCTCTGGGGAGCTGTGGGTTAGAACCAACTCCATGGCAGTGGGAAACCTGAGCCCTGTGTGTGTGTGTGTGTGTGTGTGTGTGTGTGTGTGTGTGTGTGTCAGACCCTAGATGCCCAAGAGCAAGCGCCCCACCCCACCACGGGCGTTTAGTAAAATGAAAACTGCAGCCCACTGGATGAAGAGACTCCGTGTCGTCGTCCCCCTTGCCACCTTCCATGCCACGACAGGGACGTCCTAGTGTGTGTCACAGGGGCTCCAGCTTCCCTCCCAGAGTCCCAGGAAGGCCTGGCGGGGTGCGGCGAGTCCCATTGGAGGCGCCAGGGACCTGGGACTGCTTCCTGGCTTGGCTGCTGGACAGCCGTGTCCTCTCTGCCTCCTCCATGGCTTCTGCTGCGTCACCACCTACCCCTCCTGTCTCTCTCTGTGTTGGGCCCCTCATGTGATTGCCCCATCTGGGCACATCCCTTTTGTCAGGGGTGCACCCTGTGGGCACCTGTGCCCTAAAGGGCTGCCACTGACTACTTGGGAGGCAGAGCACCCGTCCTTTCTTCCAAGGCGCCCAGGGACTGATCCTGACCCCACCCCCAGTCTTCCTGTCAGCTGCCCAGCACACTCTCCTCCGGAGAGAGAGGGACACATGAAGTCAGGCCTCAGGGGCTTGAGGGGCTTCCCAGAGTCCGGAGCTTGGCAGGGTAGGAAATGGCATCAGGGCGTGGGTGGGAGGTGCCTCCCTTGCAGCTTCTCCCCCAGGGGGCCTCCGAGGGAGGGTCAGGAGCCGAGTCCAGGAACAGGTACACGCACACCAGCCTGAGGAGGTCTCTTTCAAACTCTTTGGGGGAGGGGCGGGGGCTGCATCAAGAAGGCCATGAAGGCGCGGGGCGGAAGGTGTGCGGGGCTGTAGGAATGAATCGGTGTGTCTAAATGGGCTCGTGGGAGAGTGTGGCGCCGCAGCAAGCACGGTAATGTGCTGGCGCGGGCTCGGTGCTAATCACTTACCACAGGCGCCTTTATTAGCGTTCTAATGAGAGCCACTTAGAGCGTGCATTAAAGAGAAGAACTGCAGTGCCCGGCCGGTGGCAGGCACTCGTAATTCTAATTGAAATGCTTTTAGTGCCCAGGGAAGTCGTGGGCCCAGGCAGTGCTCTCTAAAACCCGTGCCGCATCCTGGCAGCTGGGGAGGCCCTGCGCCCCCGCATCCCTGGGTCCTGTGTGCTGCACGTGCACGGACACGTGTGCCCTCACCGGCCTCCCGAGGAGGAGACGGGACCCAGGCCTGGGGCTGGTCTCTGGAAGGTCCCTGTGTGGGTGGGTTCCTAGAGGGGACACAGGGTCCACTCTCCGTGGCCTACGGCTGATACCTCTGTTCTTCTCTGGCTCGGCGTGACCCCAAGGGCACAGGGCCAGGGCACTGCCTGGAGCAGCTGGGGGTGGACAGACTGGTCGGAGTGCGGAGGGTGAGCAGCAGGATCAGTGAGCGCCCCTGTGGTCGGGTTGGGGTGCACGGGCCCGTATTGTGAGCAGGTGCCCACTCTCATGTCAGTAAGGCGGGAGCCAGGGTGCACATCTGGGACTGCCAGCCCTTGCCATCTGTGGTCCCCTTGTAATCTTGCTCCGGGGGAGGGAAGGGGCTAAGACCTGCTGCCCATGGTCCTCACCAGGAACAGGCGCAGAGCAGGCAGGCAGCAGATGGGCCCCTCCTGGCTCACCCCGCACCCAAGGGACGTGACTGACCTCACCCCGCGTGGTGGCTGGCTCTGCTCTGCCCTGCTCTCTGGGGCGTCTGCAGCGGGGTGGCAGGTGGCTGTGTGCTGGGCTCTGCACACTGCCCACTTGCTGCTGTCAGAACCCGTAGGGCTTGTCCCCTTAACCCACACAGCTGCGTGCCTCCCTCCCTCCCTCGTGTGTCTGTTATTCCAGGTCTGGTGGGCCAGTAGGTTCCTGTTAGCATGTGAGTGTCCATGTCCCTGAGGGAGGCGGGGCCAGCCTCTGTGCCCTCACCTGCCTTTGGGCACAGGTATTCTGTGTGGATTAAGGTACCCTGAGATGGTCACAATGTGTGCATAGGCTAGGGCCTCCCACTCTCACCTGGGTGTTAGCTCAGTGTGTGGCACCCAGCTCCCCGGCCCCTCAACTGCACGGGTACTGTCCACACCCGGCCTCCGGCCCCTGTAACTGCTCACAAGCTCTGCTGTTGGTCTTTCTGGGTAGACCCTTATCAGGGACTCCTGGAAGTTCCACTTGCCAGTGAATCGTGACTGTGGAAGGGGGTGGTGCTAGAGTATTGCTTGTCTGCTTCTACAGTATTCTGGGTGCTGGCACCCCTTGGTGGCTCCTCAGTGCTCCGGAGATGCTGACGATGTGGGTGGTGTCAGTCCTGACCCCTGCCCTGTGGTCACATACCCAGCCACAGAAGATCACCCTGCCTCCCTCTCCCCAGCCCCTTGGTCCTTGCAGGGTTGCAGGGCTCTGTTTGGGTGAGAATATACACAGGGCGCTCCAGCTGCCCATGTCTAGACGATGGGGACACACACACACACACACACACACAGCCATCTCGAGGGGGCCACGCTCTCGTTGCTTCTGCTCTGGCTGCTTCACTCCCAGGGACTTAGGCTCCTTTGCTGTTGTCAGAGCCAGCCAAGCGGGGAGCCTGGGGACCCATTTCTGCACCCTGGTGCACCCTCTCTCACTGGAGAGGAGTCCCTGCCTTGGCCGGCCCTCTCATGGATGTGACTGTGTGGTGCTGGCCTGTGCTGACCCCCATGCCCCTGTGGTGCCGGCCAGCGCTGCGGTGCAGGTCCTCCTGCATCAGCCCGCGCTGACCACTCTCTCTGTGCCTCAGGCTTCTTCCCCGGGAGCTCCCAGGGCTGCGACGCCTTCCTGCGCCACAAGATGACCCTCATCTCGCCCATCATCCTCAAGAAGTACGGCATCCCCTTCAGCCGGGTACGTCCGGCCCCACGAGCCCTGCTGCAGGCCAAGAGCATCCTGCGGAAGGGTCTAGGACTGAGACAGGCCAATAGGGCGCCAGCTCAGCAGAGAGGGGCTGAGGGGTAGGACGATTACATGTGGGTGGGGTCTTTGGTCCATGTTGTCCTCGTCTCCCTATGTGGACACCTGCCAGAGGCCGCTTGGCACAGCGGTCCCCCTGGTCAGCCCCGCTCCAGTTGGGGCCGGAGGTCGGAGCAGCACCAGCCCCTCAGTAGTCTCAGTAGCCCAAGCACTGGATGGACCAGCCTCTGAGTTCCTCCCGCAGCCATGCGGAAAGAACCCACAGCCTGGCCCCCGCGTAGTAGCCCCTCAACGTCCTCAGGGAGCACCCACCTGCTCAGAGATGAAATACCGGCTTCCCTGTGTGCGAAGTGTGAGCTCCTTCACTTTCTGCTCCAGAGGCCCAGCCAGTCACATACACACCTCGGGGCAAGATGGATGAAGCTGGCATCCCGCCCACAGGCTGCCCCTCCCTGGCGTGAAGCTCCCCAGGAGGACCCTGCCCCACGAGCTCTCGCCCCTGCTCACTGTCACTGGCCTGGGGAGCCCTCGGGGACCTGGTGGGGCTGGACACTGGCCAGTCCGAAGTGTGTCTGATGTTTCACTCACGTCGCCCACAGTCTAGCAGAGTGGAGGGTGGGGTGTTGACTCCTCACCCTTGGCTTGCATAGTGTCCGTGTTTCCCTGGTGCTACCCACAGAACTGGGGTGGGCTTCCCTTCTGGGAAGTCTGGAGGATTTTCTCGAAGGGTGGCTCTAGAGAAGGGCACGCTCCCTGCATCCCACACTGGGTATGAAATAGTGGACTGGCCATCGCAGGCAGGTCCCCCTCCCGTCTGTCCCCAGAGGGCCTGCTGACATCCACACGGTCCCCCGGCCTCAGTCACGTCACATTCCCTCAGTCACGCTCCGTGCTCTGGGCCCCCCATGGCTCCACTCGGAGCACCCTGTGGCCCCTCATCTGCATTCCTGGCCGCCCTCGGCACAGAGATGTCTCCTGAATGGTAGTTACTTCACAAAGAGTCCAATCAATAGCCGAGCTTTTTAATAATTAAAAGTGTGTATTTCTGTAGTCTGCCATTGGCATCCCCATTTGTTCTGCAAGAAGCCCTCTCGGAGCTGCGTGTGGGGCCTCCGTGCTGATCACCCAGCTGCACCACGACCCTTCATTGCTGGCGCTTTCTGACTCATCGTCGGGGCAGCGCCAACGCAGTGATGCGGAGGACAGGCGCCAGGGGCTGCTGGTGGAGATTTCCTGTCAGGAGCATAAGCTGTCTGTGTCCCTGGCCCGCCCCCGGCCCCCGGCCCCTGCTACCTTCAGGAAGGCTCATGGGAGGCCTTCCTGGTCCCTGCAGATGGCGCTGTCTCCGCAGCTTCTGGCCCAGCTCACGTCTGGGGCAGCTATGTGGGCCTAACCTGGGCAGGGCTGTCACTTGGTGTCGGAAGGGGAGCTAGGTGGGCAGGGGTCCCCGGGGTGGCTTGTGGGTTCAGAAAGTCAGCAATGCTTGTTTATGAGAATAAAGAAAATGCCACCCATTTCATGAAGCTCAAACTCTCAGGCCGACCTCGCCCATTGAGCCCTTGCTGGGAACACGTGGGTCTGGCAGGCGCAGACACCCCCTGCCTTGTCCCCCTTCAGTGACCCTTGTGCGGCCACCTGCAGCTGTCGCTCATCAGCGAAAGTAAAGACGTAGTTCACGCACACTGACTCTTCTTGATTGGTGCAATCAATTACTTGAAAAGAGAAATCTCTCCGTCTTAAAGATGGCTCCTCCCCATCCGTGTCCGTTTTGATGGAGCTTGATGCTGCAGCTGCCGTTTGGAGCTCCCCCCTTTCCCCCAATCTCTCCAAGCCGGGGGGCTGATGTCTCTTGCACTGCTTACACGGATCCTCTCCGGGGAATAAGTCAACCCAAGCACACCCACATTGAAGACGGGGTGCCTAGGCAGACACTTGGCAGAAGGAAGCCCTTGCGTGGCCCTGTGGAATGCATACCCAGGAAGATGGGCGTGGAGCCCCAGGGAGACGCCACCAGGGAAATGGAACAACGACCGGGCTGGGCCCACAGCCGTGGTGAGCTTGAAGGTGCCGCCCTACCTCCAGGGGGTCTCCCTCCAGGGAAGTGAGCACTGCATCTCCGAGGAGAGGCCATCGGAGAAGGCTGCGGCTAGCTGGCATCATCCCGTCCCTCTGCGTCCAGCCTGCATGGCCTAGTCCCCGAAGCTGGGCTCCATGCAAATGGAGGCCCCAGGTTGGAGGGAGATGCTGGGACAGCCGGCGAAGTGCAGGGGACACGGCTGCTCGCCACGCGGGAAGCTGCCACGCGGGAAGCTGCCCCGCCGACGGGAGTAGAAGGCCAGCCCGTGTGGACAGTGCTAGAGCGTGAGGAAGACACAGCTCCTCGTCAGCTGGGGGAGAAGACCGGGACGCTATCTGTGGGTTTGTTCCACTTGGACCCACAGCCAGTGCCCGTAGAAGCAGCCGTCAGGAAATCAAAGGGCACCTTACAGTGGGGAGGGACATTGCCGCCAGGGAGCTTTCCTCTTTAAAGTTCTATTACCCAAAGCCGTCACCTGGAGGAATCAGGTTTGGCCCAAGCCAGCGTCTGCTCTTTGAGTTCCCTCAGGGGGCGGGGTGTGTGTGTGCTGAATCTACCACGGGCTGCCAGGGAGCTCTACGTGCTGGGCTGCTAACCACAAGGTCAGCAGTTGGAAACCACCAGCTGCTCCTAAGGAGAAAGACGAGGCTCTCTGCTCCTGTGCAATGTCATAGTCTCAGAAGCCCGTAAGGGGTGGCGCACCCTGTCCTGTAGATAGGGGTCACTGTAAGTCGGCACGGGTCTGCTTTTGGGTTGGCAGAAGGACCACCACATCCGTCTCAGACAAAGCACACACAGGATGCTCCGTAGAAGCCGGGACGGTGGGACTCCCGCTGACTTGCCATCAGGAAAGTGGTAGGTGGGGTGGGGTGGGGGTCAGCCAACCCGCACGGCCCTCCAAGTGGCCATCAGCCAGTGGCTACAACAACGGGGTCAAACCCAGCAGGCCTTGGGAAGCCGGTGCACGACGACGGGCCACAGCGATGGCACTGAGACTTGTCCACACACGCCCCAGCACCTGTGCTTGCCAGCGCCCCAAACTGGCTCCAGGGTCCACCCAGCTGCCCACGGGTCCATCACAGAGGCTGGGAGGAAAACGGGCAAAGCCACGCAAAGAAGGTCATGGTCCGACTCTGCCGCCCAAAGGGACCTGCTCCGCCCTAACCCAGACCTGTGAGCATGACTTGGCCCTGAACAGGGCTCTCTGAGTGTGGAGTGAGCTAAGGCAGGCCATCCTGGTCCTGGTGTCCTAACAGACAGACTGAGCAGGGGACCCAGCGAGGCTGCCTCCAGGCAGACAGCAGGGCTGGGCTGCAGGTTACCTTTAATGTGGGGGAGGGGGAGGGCTGGAGGGGGGGTAAGCAAGCATGGCCCTCCCTGGATCCTTCTGTGTATGGGAATGGGGGTAGTTGCTGGCACCAGAGGACATAAGAATCCGATGCCTCACAGGAAGAGACTCACCATGTGCCAGGCAGCCAGAGCCAAACCCGAGCATATTTTGCCAGTGTCCTTGTCCCTCCCCTCTGTCCCCACTTCCACCCCCACCCCCTCCCTGGCAATATGATGTTGCCCTCTCAGCCACCTAGACGGGTCCCTGCTCAGGCTGTGCCAGAGAGATTCTGTGCACAGAGATGCTGTGTGCCTGCAAGGGCCCCATCGTCCCACCCCTCCCGGCCCCCCTTCTGTAGCTGCCACCAGCAGCCCCGAGTGGATGACCCCTTTGATGTCCAGCACTGTGTCATGGGCAGAGGCAAAGCAGCCTTTGAAGAGGGAGACGTCCTGCTACCCTGCCTGGGGTGGTGGGGTGCAGTGGGGCATGTGGGCCATCTTGGGGATGTTGTGGGGACAGTTGGCTGTCCCCAGGTGTGTGTGTGCATGTGTGGAGCTGCGGTCCTGTTCACAGAGCCACGTCTCCTGAGGAAGCCTTGCAGGAAGAGGCTGGGCTGCTGCTTTGCCCCAAGCTCAGGAGCCTGGGGATGCCCCGCGTAGGCCCTGTCCTTCACCGCAGACCTCTCTCTGCAGATCACACAGGAGGCTGGGGAGTTCATGATCACCTTCCCCTACGGCTACCACGCTGGTTTCAACCATGGCTTCAACTGCGCCGAGTCCACGAATTTCGCCACCCTGCGCTGGATCGACTACGGCAAAGTGGCCACACAGGTGAGAGCCTCGGGCAGTGGGCATCTGCCGCGTTGGGTTTCCAGGTTGTGTTTCATCTCAAGGGATGGGGACTGGGCTGCCCCATCGGCCTTGTGAACACTGCATCTCCCTTCCACCGGTCGCCGTGCTGTCTTCTGCCACCCTCCCTGCAGCAGGCTGCACCCCGCATCCCCGTGTCCCCTGGAGGCTGGGCAGAAGCTCCCTGGGTGTGCCGTGGTAATTCACGTCTGTGTTGCTGGAGGGGGGCTTGTAGTGGGTTTTGCACTGAGCTGGTAAACATTAAGGTCAGCAGTTTGAAACCACCAGCTGCTTTGTGGGAGAAAGATGAGGTTTTCTATCCCTGTAGCTGTTTACAGTCTCAGCAAGGGAAGGGCTCCTTTGCTCTGTGGAGTCCGTACAAGTCGCGGTCCACTTGACAGTGAGCCTCATCCTGCCTGTTCCTATGGGGTTTGGTGTCAGTATGGAGGGAGAGTGGGAACTCCAGCTCAGTGGGGGTGGGGGTGGGGCCACCACGTGCATCTTTGCAGCTTGATCTCTGTGAGTGCCTGGAAGGTACAAGTGACAGGACTGGGGGTTGTCCCCCCTCCACCCCACAGGAAGCGGGGTGAACGAAGCTGGGACTGCTGGACGGTGGTGGACCCAGGCCTTCCTCCCGGAAGGGCTTGTTCTGGCTACCTGGAGGGGACAGTGTGAGCATCTTGGCCAGGTTCCTGGCTGCCCTTAAGAGCATTGGTGGGTGGATGGCTCCGGCCATGGTCCTGCCCTTCATGCTGAGGCTGCTGGGCCTTGTGGCTGCTGAGACCAGCAGGCAGGACTTTCCTGCTGACCGCCCCCCCCCCCCACCCCCCGCCGGCACTCTGGGGATGCAGAGGTGAAGCTTCTGAGTCAGAGGGTAGTGATGGATCCTCCTCCCCTGGAGGCCCTGGGCCAGTGCCCCTGCCTGGCCCCAGAGGGGCTGTGACCTCCCCTTCCAGCCCGGCCATCGGGGGTTGTGACTCCATGTGGGACTGAGTAGAAGTGAGCGGGTGGTTTCACAAAGCAGACACTTGGAGCCCAGGGGAGAGAGGGTGTCCTCACCTCTCTCAGCTCCTGCTCTCAGCCCCTTTGCCATCTATCTCCATGTGGGATCTGGCTTCCCCCGACTGGGCTTCTATCCCGAAGCTGCACCTGCTTTCCTGTCCCCAAAGGCACACCCCACAGGGATACGACCTCCTTCACCTCCCAGATGGGGTGACAGCCTCCGGTGCAGGCTCAGGGTTCCCAGCTCAAATGGGTGATGTGCCTTGGGAGACTCACTGGACCCTGCAGCCTCCGGTTGCAGCTGAGCCCTCTGCCAGTGCAGTCCCGGAACGTCTGATTCGGAGAAGGGACTAAAGGTCAGGGCTCTGCCTGCTGGAGGGAGGCGGCTTCCATGCCTGACTTCAGGGCCGGCCGGGGGAACCTGGTGGTGGCTCTGGTCTGCTGTGCAGTGCGGGCCACAGCCCCGTCCAAGACGCAGTTTGAGACATGAGCCAGGCCTCGGCTTGTCCTGGGGGTGCTGTCTAGGCCGGGGCTGCTGTCCGGCAGGGACTGCCCAGAGATTAAAAGCAATTTTGGGTGCAGCCATGTGTTCACTAACAAGTGACATTTGGGAAGTGCCGCCGAGATCGGACCTCCACGCTCACATAGTGTGAAATTGCTGAACAAGTAGCGGGCAGTGCGCCCAGCCAGCTGGGGTTCAAGGGGACTGGCCAAGTGGTGGGCAGCCTCTGACCGGCCAGGTCGGCAGGTGGCAGGGGACTGTAGCCAGCTGGTCACCATTGGCCACAGGGTGCCCACCGCGGTCACCTGTCCGGCTCTGTCATCTTTGGAACTAAGCCAGGCTGCAGAGCTCTTACTGTGTACCCCCTGGCCTGCCTCCTCCCCTGCCACAGACAGCATGGAGCCCAGGGGAGAGAGGGTGTCCTCACCTCTCTC